CCCCAAAACCCCAAAACCCCAAAACCCCTTCAATCAGTTTATCTTTATTCAATCTATCGCTTTAAATTAAATTTAAATATGCAAATTTCAAATTATGATCAAGAAAAAAATGGGGGCTTGAGTCTTAGTTCATATGGTGATATTATAAATATTACAAGTGATCACCTGATTTTACTAAGAACTTTCAACAGTCTAAAAGCTTACAAATAAATCAAGTAAATTAAATGAAATTATATTTCAGATAGCAAGATCTGATTAATCATGAGAAGGCTTCAAGATTTAGATTGAAATAATTTGTCTTAAAGACTCGAATGAGTTTTGATAAATCTAAATAAATCCATAGAAAGAAATTGATTTTCCTTAAGTAATTAACAAATATGAAATAAATTCTTTTTTAGATGGATAAGATATACTCTCAGTCAGCTATCCCTCAACAAAAAATTAATAATTAGATCAAGTACAATTCTTCTTAAAAAGTAATATCACATTCCTATAATAGTTTTAGAGTAATTAAAAATTGGCGAAAGCTTCTAGTTAAAAAGTATGTGCTAAAATAAAATCTAATCTCCTTTATTAAAAAGAAGCAAAGAAGAGTGAAAAATAAAATTTTAATGAAAATGAGATGACAAACCTTTCAATCTCGAAGGCTAAAAGCATATTTTGAAATAAAGAATCTTAAATTAATGTCAAAAGTTCTTGGGTCACTTTAGATCAATGTAGACGTCAATGCTTAAAAGCATAAAAACTTTCTAGTATATATGCACATCAAGAAATAAACAATCGCTAGACAAGTTCTAATGAATTGGAAAAGAGGAATATAAAATGCAAATTAAGATGAAATTAATAAATTCATCGTTATAAGATATTTCAGAAAGCTTATTAGGTCATACAACTCAAGAATGCATAAAGAGATTTCTTTGGGAGTAATGCTTAGAAAAAAACTGCTGAAAAGATACTTATTTTGGTTCTTGAAATAAAATGTATAGCGATCATAATTGGACAGAATTGCTGATAATTTCAGGACATAGTAGTTATTGAATGCATGGAAAGAGTAGGTAAACATGAAGCAAATAATATAAGTTAAGGATAAATTAGCCATAAATTACAGAGATAGAGCAACTCGAAAGAGATTATTGAACAGATACTTTAAGATGCTGAAGAAAAACTATTATAGTGCAAAGTATTTGAGATTAAAAGATCAATAGTTGGATATGATGGCTTCGTAATTTCAAATGAAAGTACATTTCACTTTGCTGAAAAGACAAGCATTTCGAAGACTTAAAATTGCTCCAAAAATAACAAAAGCTGATCACTTCTAGAAATATCGACTCAAGAGAAAAGCAATTATTTCATTAGACATGAATAGGTAGTTTATTTAGAATGCAAGGAATCAGCTTATACAGAGAAATGAAAAAATACGACTACATAGAATGAGCAGAATATTTAGGAGATTTAAAATACTTCATGAGAATTATAAGGATAAAAACGATAAAGCTTTTATGTATTATGTAAGAAATCTCTAGGCAAAGGTCTTTGCTATTTTTTGGAACACCACTACATTTCAAGATGATAAAATCAATTAATAAGCGATTTTACATTATAACAAAAGTTTAGCTAAGAAAGTTCTGGCTTCACTATTTATCAATAAATGCTAAGCTTTCATGCGCTACAATACTTTAAATGCGTAAGATATTTTTCTCTCTTATTGTTTTTAGGGCTGAGGAAATGAGATAAAATTATTATCGAAAATTGATCATCAAGGCTTTTGATTGCTTGAATAAAAACATGATGATTGAAAATTTCAAGACGAGAAAGAACTCTGAGCTCGCCTAGCTTTGTCTATATTAATGGTCTATCTATGTTAAACTTAACAAGATAAGCTCAAGATACAATGATACTAGCCAAATAAGCAATTAGTCAACATCTAAACATAAGAATACTTCTTTTTATGAGAAAGAAAATTTGATGAATTTGTAGAATAATATACCCAAACCTTCAAGGTATAGAGTGTGAGTCAGCTTTGAAAAGAAATTCGTTTGATGTCGAAGAAAATGATTATTTACTTTAAATTAAACTTAATTTCATGAATCTCTATGATAACTTCTGTTAAAATTATTACATTACAATTTCACATTGCTCTTGTGAGACACATCATAATAAAAAATGCAATGGAAACAAGTAATATAATCAAACCCTCAGCAAAATAAATCCAAGTCTTAATATCCCTATTCATGTAATGAATCTTATCTCCGACAATCGTAATCACCATACTTAGGATTCCTCCAACAGCCATATTTCCACCATAAATCAAGAAGCAATTGATATTTTCTTTTTCAATTAAATGCTAACACTGCATATATATGGTTATTAATAAAGCAGCTAAGAAAAATCCAATCATGAAAGCCAAGAATGTAGTAAGACCAACATTTGCCTTTGATAGTGTTCCTAACATTACACCCACAGCTTTTATTTATTGATAAAGATATGATAATTTTACTTACATATAACTTCGAACAAAGCGCAAAATGTTATAAATAGTTTAGGATAACTAAAAAATACTTTAGTTAGATGCTAATAAATTGAGCTACATGCTAGCATTCCAAGAATATAGTAAGTTATCATCATCTCAGCGTCACTCTAATTAATTATTGCTATTATTAAACTTACTGGGGTAAAATTAAACTAGTTAGTTATGTGAGGCCATTTCTAAAGCTAGAAATAAAAGACTGCAGTTAGTAAACCAAAACTAAACATAATGCCGTAATTCACTTTAAGCTTGAAGAATTTCTTTATACTTATAGATTTCTTATCATTCTCAATTTACTCACTAAATGCTACCTATAGCTGATATCTTTTGTACTGATAAATTTATGAACATGCTAGAAATATAAGCAAGATTGCTTGAACTAGGAAATACGCAAGGGTCTTATACTTTACTTAATCCTCATTATAGAAAAAGCCATCATCTCTGGTATAGATAACTGATTGGAGAAGTATGCTCAGCATAATTCCAAGAGGCAAAGTAGCAAAGGTTAAAATAAGCTTATTCAATTTTAGAGGTTGCTTTGCAGTGCATAGACTTATGAATATTTGTAATAGAAAAATAGGAATAAAAGCCAAAGCGAAAATTATATGGCATACCTGAAATAACCAGTAAGTTCCTTTTCTTTCTCCAGCAATAGAAACTACTCTAATAAGCACTGCTACTGAACAAAATATCAGTGATAAAATATGCTAATTAAAAATTAAAATGCCAATAACTTACTGAAGTTTCTAAACTTATTTTTTTTACCATTAGGTATGCAATTGGAATAGAAAATGCACCCTGAATTGCTAAATTCACATAATAGACCACAATGTTCAAATCAGTATAATAAAGTGCATAAAAATTAGTAAGTTCTTTATTTGCTATAATAGGTGAATGCCAACAACATGAAATAATTGTTAAAGTGACTAATCCCAATAGAAAATTAGGCTGATTCTGCATTATTTTTTCTTTTTTGCTTTACATTTTTAATTCAATAAATTCTATTTTGTACCAATATATATATTCCCTAGGATTAAATAATAAATATTATCGAATTTAAAATGAGTTATCAATCAAGCTTTAAGTGTTCAATATTTATTGAGATGTTAAAGCCATTCTTGTAAAATCCCCTAACTTAATACTACTAAAATAATTCGAAGTTCAAAAGCCCATTAAAAAGTGTATATCTAAGCTTTTGTCTAATATCGACGGTATTATTACTTTTGATTGCCAGCTAAGTCACAATATATTATTAGGAATCTTCACTAAGAGGGTGGGAATGGAGCAAATCTACTTCATATCTAGAATTTTTAAAATCACAATTCGCATTAATCCCCAACAATTCATAATGAAGATTCATATACAAACATCTTGCTTGCACTTTGATCTCTGCTGGATTTAAGTCAAATAATAATCTATACTTAGCTGCTTCTTTATAAGCAAACAGATGAACATACTTATCTCTAAGATAATTGATTCTTGCCCCGAAATTCATATTATTCTGCTGGAAAGCTATTGTCTATAAGAATTCTGCATAAAATCGATCATGATCAGGAAGTATATTAAACTAATTTGATATGAATATTCTGTTGAAACTTAAGTTTGGGTTATCCACATCCAGGTAATAATTGAAATAGTTGTAGTTCTAAAGTGCAATGTCTTATGGGTCATCTATCTTTAAAATAGATTTCATACTCAGTGTTTTTTATGTCAAAGATGAATGCTTTTTCTAGAATAGAAATTTCAACTTTAAAGGTTAATTATCGAAAAGCTACGTAACTTGAGGCACAATTTTAAATCCAGATTTCTTGTCCTTTAGATTCATGATTAGATTATTTTTATTGTACTGATCAAATTGGTTTGAGGCAATAAATGTTTATTTGAAAGGTTTCTACAGCCTCTCATAAAAGTGTTTCTTTTCATTTCCATTGCCAAATAATTTGTCCAAAACGCTCTTTTATCTTGAATTTAAGCTTGATTATACTGGGTTCCGTTCATTTCTAACTTTCTAAGGATTATCACCTGAGAAAAAACTACTAAATGACATTATTTATATTTATAAGAATAACTTGTGATATAAATAAATTTTATAAGACGGGGTTTTGGGGTTTTGGGGTTTTGGGG